TAATTAGTGGATAATTCCATATTTACAATAATTTTCCTATTATCTATGATAATGCTAATAATCTCCTTATATATAATCACCGAATGCGCTGCTGTTTCTGGTGCTTGGGAATCCTATTTGACAAAGAATTATGTTTCGTAATTAGGTTTGGACAAGTAATATTGATATATTAATAATTAATAATTTAGGTTCGGACATTCTATAAATATTATTTAGCTAACTTAGTATTTTAATATCACGTGTACTAATATAACCCTTTAATTCTTCGATTTGACATTTTGACTAGTATATCTCTGACACCTCCAATTAGTTATTGAATTGTAAATGTATTTTAAAAATTGATAACTTTTGTATTTATTATCAGTTTTACATATATAATATATCAAATTAATCATTTTTTGATAATCTTCGATTTGACAATCATATTATATATATGAAATAAATAAATTATATTTATCTTTATAATAATAAAAAAAATTTAAAATTCATTAAAAAAATTTAATTATTTCTCAATTGATATATTTATGTTTAATGTAGTTATATTTGTAAGTTAAAAAAAAAATTATTATTATATAACACAAGTAAGTCACACAAATAAAAAATGTCATACTAAATATATATTAGTATATATATTTTTATAAAAGGTATTTAAATTTCAACTACTTTTTCTTATCAATTACTAGTTATAAAATAATAGGAAAATGCTACGGTCCGTTATGGAACATTTCGTCGAAGTTTGTAAACGTTAGATCAACTATCTCTGACGGTTAATGATCTAACGGTTACAAACCCGACGAAATGGTTCCGCAAGAGCATCTCCCAAAACTATAACTACAATTAACAACCAGATCGTGCCAGACCAAATTCACCGGCAGCACCCCGCGTAAAATCAAAGCAAACAAACACTTCATCTTCGATCGGAAAAATCTTAATCGATTTGACCGGCGATGTACCGGACGGGGAGCTCGGGTCGTGTCTCCGACGAGTTTTTCTCGAGCGCGACTAAAACGTCGGCCCAAACAGCTGACGGCGATCACGAGCAGCAGCAGCTTCTCCCGACGCACAGACCGGAATCTCACCCGCCCAAAAAGGACAAGATTCGCTTCAGATCTGCCGAGACCGCCGTTCACTCCATCCCTCTGGTGCTCATCCTCTGCGCCGCCATCTTGTGGTTTTGCTCTGCACCAGGTGATTTTTGCTTAATCCTTGTTATTTTTAGTTTCATTTGCAATCAGTTTCTGTACTCGATTCGGTGAATGATGTGATTTTCTTTGAATTGTTTGAATTTTCGTCTGTCGATTTAGCTTTCGAAGCTGATTTCATTCCCTTTAGGTTAAATGATTTTGAGATTCTTTTTTTTTTTTTTTTTTT